GCCTTTTTTAACATTAGGAAACCATTTTGCTAATACCAGTTATAGCATTAGCAAACCTTTGGCTAATGCCTTTTTTAGTATTAGCATTAGCCCACCACTTTGCTAATGCCTTTTTTAACATTAGGAAACCATTTTGCTAATACCAGTTATAGCATTAGCAAACCTTTGGCTAATGCCTTTTTTAGTATTAGCATTAGCCCACCACTTTGCTAATGCCTTTTTTTTTTTTTTTAAAGCATTAGCCAACCTTGTTGCTAATGCCTTTTTTTAGCATTAGGAAACCATTTTGCTAATACCAGTTATAGCATTAGCAAACCTTTGGCTAATGCCTTTTTTAGTATTAGCATTAGCCCACCACTTTGCTAATGCCTTTTTTTTTTTTAAGCATTAGCCAACCTTGTTGCTAATGCCTTTTTTTAGCATTAGGAAACCATTTTGCTAATGCCAATTATAGCATTAGCAAACCTTTGGCTAATGCCTTTTTTTAGGACTACCATTGGTATTAGCACACGTGCACCACTTACTATGATATATGAACTATTACGGGTGTAAATAATAATCATTTTGTATCGACGCATCGATCCAACAGCCGACAATCCGATGTATCGACACGTCCGCAAGAGTATCAACTCATGTTTTTTTCCCCCTCCGGTCTATTTTTATACATTTGTTCCTGGACGTAATTTTGACTCCCGTGCTGTGGTGGCGCTAAACCTATTTTGCCCTCCTATTATTCTTCAGTGAATGAGTTTTTCATAGGCCTGGGTAGAGTACAGCTGTGCTACTTCTGTAATTTTCTGTTGTTTCTAAAATAAATTGCATAACGATATTACAGCTTTCATTGATTTATTTCAAATTTGAAACATTGTCTAGCCTGTAAGGTAAAGAAAAAAAAACAAAAAAAAACAAACAATTAATTGAATCTAATCGTATCGTGGTGTATTCTTGAGTATCGAAAATAATCGAATCGTTGGGTCAGGAAATTGATACTGAATCGAATCGCCATGATGGGTGTGATTTACACCCCTATGATCTATAAAGTTGACGAAGCCAAATATCTGGAACTTTTTCCAAATGTTAAGCAACTTAAACCTCCTAGAAAACCAAACTTATGGTCATATGCCATCTTTTTTCTCCCCCTTTGTTTATGTTTTGTTTATTGTTAGGTTTACAAAAACAAAGTTTAAAACATAAAAATATATAGATATATTAGGCAAACAGGAAGCCATAATTCTAACCTCCCAGATTGAACCAGAGGTGTAGAAATCCTTAAAGTCACAGTACTGTAGGTAACTGGGACTCTTTAAGCTAAGTGGGCATAGATTAATGCGTTTTCTCAGTTATATCAAAGTGCCTTAAGTTATGAAGGTAGGTGGACTTTTTATATTTCGCTGTAAAACAGCAAACTCTTCAGGCTTACCCCATTAATGGTCACCCAGGGCACATATTCATGGGGAGGCTTCAGTGCTTTGGTCATCATGGCGTTCTGATGCATCAGCTGCATCCCCATGTCTCCTTTAGCACAGCTCATTACCTTGTCAATGCTCAGATCAGGGGCGTAGACTTTCAGACACTAGAAACAAGAAAAGGCTTAAAAAATAAGATCCACTGATGAAAATGAACTCAGAGCCTTCAGAGCCAGTCAACACAGACTGAAATAAAACGGTTGCTTACGCTTTCAGCTGAGCCGATGACGTCGGCGGAGGATTCCATGCAGAAGATGATGGGGAAAGCCATCTGAGTCATGTTCATTATACAACTCTATGGAAGTTAGAGAAACAAACCAGCTTAAACCATCGCTCTCACATTCCATAAAAAAGTT